CAATATAGAATTAATAAGGTAATAAGATTGTAATCCTTTAATATGATCATTTTGGTGTTAAGAAACTGAGCAGTTGAAAATAAGAGTATATGTTCGATCCTTTCTAATATTATTTTTAAAAGAGATTTAAAATCTTAATCTCAAGATCCACTCTTAATCAGACTAATCGCAAAATCATAAATTGATTGAAATAAAAAAAAAAAAAAATTTGGGAAATGGGAACAATTAAATAATTGAGGATTTTACCTAAAGTCTGCATGTTCAGTTGACCGTGAAGTGTGAACAACCGAGCCATGAAGCAAGTCTTTCCAAACGAATGAATGTAAAATTTCCCACACAGAATTTGATTTTGTCGACCATGGAAGTGAGTGACATCAACATGATTTTACGCATTTCTAAATTTTTAATGCTTAATCCTCCATTACAATAAGATAAAAAAATTCTAAACTAAATTTGTTTGTGAAGTAAATAAATAAAGATATATTTAATTTTGATTTAATATAAAATAATCAAATTGATTATATATATATATATGTGTGTGTACTTTACAGACAAATTTATTGAAAGAAATTATTCTTAAAATACACACCGGAATTCAAGAAAAACCCAGTAGTTATATAAAATGACAAAAGAAGAAAAACAAATTGATTAATTAAGTATCATCTGAAGACTTAATATTTCGAAATTAATAGTTTTAAAAGACAATGGCATCGTCAGTTGTCACATAATGAATCTTAAGCAGTTGGTAATCGTTTAAAATTTAAAGACAAAAGGGGTCTTCTGAAGCCATTACCACGTTTTTCGCAGTAATCTGTTAGCTAATAATTTTTATTTTATTTATTTTAATATTTATTTTTGGCAAAGCCGGGCGTAATGCCGCAATAATTGGGTAGACACTGTTAGGCTTTATTTTAGTTCATCAGTCTTTCTTCTTATAACTTAATTGTGAGGTTGTTTCAGTTTATTTATTTATTTTATTTATAAGTTTTATCAGAAAATTATGAAATTTTTATTTCAAAAAAAGCTAACTCAAATATATAATTATTGCGTATTTGTATTTATTTACTCTGAGATTATTTTTTTTTTAATTTATCAAAGAAATTGGAAAAATAGTAATTTTTTCTAAGTATGTATTTAATATACAAGTTTAAAAAAGAGTTTTATAATTCTCATGTAATGTGAGAGTTGTAATTTTCCTACACACTCTTTGATTTTCGTACTGATATGGGTCCCACGTATAATTTTTTTTAATATATGGATTTCACGTGCTTTTTATCTCTATGACATGAAATTTTAATTATCATGTAAAATGAGAATTATAAAACCCTTTAAAAAAAGATCGATCCAATTTTTTGAAGTTGCGTGTTGTGCTATTTAAACTGGACTCTCTTAAAGTGAACAATATACTTTAAAAAAGGGTTTGTTTTTTTTACAGTCAACGTAGATAATTTATCTATATTGAGCCTAAAACGACGTTGTTTTGAGACGGAAATCAAAGTATTTTTGTAATTATAATTCATTTCAGGATTATAATAGTCTTTTTCATTATAATTTTTTTGACTCAAAACGACGTCGTTTTAACAGTGAATGTAGATAACTTATCTACATTTACTTTAAAAACATTAAAGACTTGAAAAAAATACAAAATAATAACTATCAATTAAAATATTACTAACGGTTAAAATTATGTATATATATATATATATATATATATATATATATATATATATATATATAGAGAGAGAGAGAGAGAGAGAGAGAGAACAAGATTCTTTGACGTTGGTGGCAAACTTTTTCTTCTGACACCAAATCCTAATCGTTTATTTTCATCAATCAACGATTATAATTTATTAAGTCAAACTCATTAATTAGTTAATAATTTGCAATAAATGATAACCATTATCAAATTATATATATGGGTCGGGATCATTTTATACCAGTGTAAGTTACACTCTTAATCTTGTCTGCTGATCCCACTCATATCTAAGGCTCAAATTTTTTAGTAATGTAAGCTATTGGATACAAGTGAATCAATGGTCAAGATTGAGTATAAGACTTCTAACTCTTATACTGATGTAAGAATATCGTGTATATATATATATGTATGTATATATATAAGGAAAAGTATTTCTCCGATCACCGGAAATAAAGTTATCTTCAGTGAGTTCAAAATGACGTCATTTTGGGGTTATAAAATTAAAAAATGATAATGATAAAGACTAATATAACTATGCGATATATTATAATGGTAAAACACACATTGATTTCCGTCCTAAAACGATATTGTTTTGGGCTCACCGAAAATAATTTATTTTCATTGACCGAAGAAATTCTTTACCCATATATATATATACATATATAGGGATAGCAAAAATTATTAAAATTATTTTATTAATTTTTAATTAAAAACTGTAATTACATGTTTTATAACTTTAAATGCAGCACTTACTTTATAAATCCACCCAATCATAATATGTTTGATTCTCAAAATTAACAAAATAATTGGTACATAGTTTGCTGGCAAAGCAGGCCCCCTTCATCATCGAAATCTTGAAATCATGAACGAGCCACGTGGCAGGAAGAAAAAATATCCACAAGGGTGTTTCTTCCGTAGGAGGAAGACTTGTTTCCCGGTACATCTTTGCTAAAAGTATGATAATTTTAGTACGGGGAGAGAATCTTATCTATACTTAATTTACTGAAATTGTTACACAGAGTTGTGGAACCGGACTCAAATTTAAATTCTGACTAAACAATTATATATGTATTTTTTTTTAATTTTAATTAATTCATATCATAATATATTTAAATTATATTAAACACAGAATATTTGAGCAATCAGTACTAAGAAAAGTTATAATTTTATTAAATATTTTTTAATTTTACTAAAAATAATATTTTTTTTATAGAAATAAAAATTAGACACATAACTTAATATAATTTATCTAAATCTTTCACCAAAAATATTTTAAATTTTACATAAGGCCAAATTACAAATTGTAGCCTAGGATAAATTACAATTTTAATCCAGACTAAAATATAATTAATTATATAATTATATGTAATAAGTACAATTTATTAAAATTTAGCTCGGACCGAGGCCACACCCACAGCCACATGTGGCTCCGCCATTGGTAACACATTAACAATGTAATTATAGTTTACCAAAAAAATATGTAATTATTTATATATATCAAATTTTTTTTCAAAATATTAAAAAAATTATATTAGTGCACAATTGTTAGATATATAAGAGTTTCTCGACTATAATAATTTTTTATATACTCTAAAATTTTTACATTTAGCTTACAAAATTACAATGGTAGTACAACTTAAATTTAATTTGAAATGTTGAATAATTATATTTTATTTGAATCTCAACTATTAGATATGATATTATATGATTATCGTGTCCACAATTTTAAAAATATTTTAATACTATTATATATTATTAACTAAAATTAAACATTTGAGTATTATTATTATGTACGCGGATAATAGGTTTTTCACCTTTTTGTCCCTTATTAATTATTTAATAACTATTTTGCCCCTTTCACAGAACTATCTATCAATCTGCCCCTCTTTAATCGATTAAGCCAAAAATATAATCGATTAGATGGTCAAAATAGGCAAAAATCGTAGACTTGAAGGTTTAATCGATTAAATCTTCCTATTTAATCGATTAAACCTCTCATACATAAGGTTGTTCTTCTGATAAAGAGGAAGATTTAATCGATTAAGTTGAAGATTTAATCGATTAAATCTTCATTTGACAATTTAATCAATTAAATATTTAATTTAATCGATTAAAGAGGGGCAGATTGGTAGATAGTTTTTAATAAGGGACAAAATAGTTATTAAATAATTAATGAGGGGCAAAAGGGTGAAAAAGCCCGCGGATAACCCAAATTAAAAACATTAAAAAGTTATTTACCAAAAAAAAAGCATTAAAAAGTATATTAAGTAAATAATTAAATCAATTTGGTAATGATAAAAGCTAAAAGTTATCATATAAATGAGGCTTTAACGTTTCTACGTTGAATGTAGATAAGTTATCTATATTCGCTCTCAAAATAATATCTTTTTGAGTTGAAAAATTAAAAAATTATAATGAAAAAGACTATTATAATCCTAAAATAAATTATAATTACAAAAATATATTGATTTTCGCCTCAAAACGACATTATTTTGGGCTGAATGTACATAAATTATCTATACTGATAAAATTATGGTCGATAAAATTAGTCTCGAAATACACATAATTATAAAAGAAATTGACCGGTAAAATATATATTTTAAAATTTTTTGTTATAATTTTTATTTTTGAAATGTGCAAGGGTTCAGATATTAGATGAGAGATTTACTCTTACTATATCAAATGAGAGATTTACTCTTACTATATCAAAACGAGAGTAAACATTTTTTTTGGTCTCTGACAATATCTACGAAATTCCTTTTAGTCCCTGACAATAAAAAAGGACCAAATTAGTCCATAAAATTATGAAAAAAGGGCCACATTAGTCCTTATGTCAACTCCTCCGTCACTAACGTGGCCCTTTTTGCATACTGTTAGGGACCAATTTGGTCCTTTTTTATTGCAGAGACTAAAAAAGATTTTGTAGATATTGCCAAGACTAAAAATAGTGTTTACTCTCAAAATAAAAAAAATAACAAAACAGGTGGATATTTATTATGGAATAGTGCTAAATATTAAGACACAAGGGGTCCGAGCGGGACTGTCAAATCTACATATTCTCTGTTTTCTCTCTCTCTCTCTCTCTCTCTCTCTGAATTCACAGGACAGACCCTTTGCTCCGCAGATTCGATTCAATCGGCGATCTTTATTGTTCACTGCTCCTCGGGAATCCCTCGTCTCCCTCTTTCAATCTCTGTCTCTTCTACCTGAATATAATGTTCCAGATTTTCAAGGTACGGTTTTTCATTCATACTAATAATTATATTTTATTATTAATAAACCTTTTCAATCTGTTATTTAATTTATTTTTTATATGAATATTTGCAACCCAAAATAAAAAAAAAATAAAAAAAAGAAAGATAAAACATGTTATTGTTTGATAAAATGTGAATTTTGTTTTCTAGTCTTTGTTTCTATCTGGAGTTTCCTCCACTGTTAACTGATGGGTTCCTTGATCTCCGTTCACCGAGACATTGGTTTTATCAGCTCCGTATTTTACCCCCTTTCAATACTGTTTTCATTCTTTTGCGTTCTTCTTCTTCCTCGTCCAATAAAATATTCTCAGGAGATCTCTGAAATTGCAATTTTAGTGGGTTTTGAGATGCGTCGGAATCGACAAACTCAAATGGGTTCTTTTGTTTTTCTTTGACCAATTTCTGTTTTCTACCTATAAGGAATTTTTGCTGCTGCAAGTTTTCCAAGTACGGTTCGAACATTTTAATTTCTGATATTTATGTGTTATTTTCGGATTTTTCTGAATTTTAAGTATTGCCAATCTGAGATTATTAAATGGGTTTTTGGTTTTATTCTATGTATGCATAATATATGTATGTTAGCGGAATTTGGACAATCGTATTGAAACTTTTGGACGGTTACTTACTTTTATTTTTTTCGTAATTTTGCTTTAAAAGGGTTAATGATACTGTCTCTGCGGTAGTACTGCTACCTTCGTAGCCTCATCTCCTCTGCATCATTGACTGTTCTTTTCTTTTTTGGTCTTTGAGATTCCTTTTTGGAACTCTGTGCTTTAGGTAGGTATTTCCTGAGTACATTAAAAAAGGTTCCTTTTATGGAAATGGGATCTGCTTTTTCCCATCTCATCATTTAAAAAATAAATTACACCATCAATAATAATAATAATAATAAAAATTATAAGGACTGTAACTATATTAATAATAATTCATGCTTATAATCTGATTCCTCTGGAAAAGGAATTCATGGTGGTCATGATTCCTACTACAGAACTTGTCTCATCTGCCCATTGCCTTAAACAATTCCAAAACTGCTAATGTTTTGTCTCTGTGTTTTGGTTAGTGCAGGCAGGTACACATAGGAGGATATGATTATGGATAAATTAAAAAAAATTATTTTTAAATCACTTTCAATCTTTCACATCTTTTGATCTTTCTTCTCATCTCCTTATTTTTCGCTCAAGATGCAGGGCTGATTCTGACTTGATTAAGCTCTAGAATAAGAAAAAAAAAAATGGAGGGTGACACATTCTCTGGTCTTGGCAATGGTACCCAAATTGATAGCAAGATCTTGCAGACATTTCAGAAAAGCTTTGTTCAAGTCCAGAATATCTTGGATCAGAACAGGGTACTTATCAACGAGATAAACCAGAATCATGAATCTAAGGTCCCTGACAACCTCAGCAGGAATGTTGGCCTTATTAGGGAGCTAAACAACAACATCAGAAGAGTGGTTGATCTTTATGCTGATCTTTCAAGTTCCTTTACCAAATCCATGGAAGTTTCTTCCGAGGGGGATTCCAGCGGCGCTGTGAAATCAGACGGGAAAGCCGGCCACAAGCGACACAGGCCTGCTTAGGGTGTTTGTTTTCTTTTTTTCTTTTCTTTATTTTTCTCCCTTATCTTTCTTTTCTTTTTTTCTTTTTTTCTTTTTGTTTGGTGGAGAAGCACGACATCACAATTGTGCTGAGGGGTAGGACAAGATTAGGTTCTGTAGCTGAAGCTCTCTTGTATTACCAAACTCTCTCTAGCTCATAGTTATTGCTTACATTTCAAATAAATAAAAAAAATTATTTTCCAGAATTCCTCTCATTATAACCTTGTAACTGTGGCTCTAACAGAAATCAAACATGTTTGTGTTACTAATTTAATCATGCTACCGTAGTTCAAAGGGTAAATGAACATGCCTTTTCTTTCCCTGTCGATGTGATTATTTCTCCCTTTGAATTTGAACATTATAATGTAATGGGCTTTTCTATTTTTCCGTTTATCTGTTTTTTCTATGATGAGGTAGTTGCAAAAGATAAGGTCTTTTAGCTTTGATAAACTTTTCTTGAGTTTCTGCTCGTCAAAAAGGACTAAGGGGTCTAAATAAATTTTTGCCAGTCATTCTTTTTCATGAGGACTTTCGCCTATCCAGTTTTGATGGGAACTCAACCCAATGCAACTTTATTCCCTATGCAACTTCAACCCAAAATGTTGATACTGGTTCTCACTTTACCTAAGAACTGAATGTTGAAAGGGGTTGCAGATACTGTTTTAGGCTTGTTCCCATGTAGCCAGCGCTTCTTTACCAAGAAAACTATACCCAGTTTTTCTGTTCATGTGTTTGTCTGTGGGTTTGACAACTGAGAACTGAAAACTGCATACATATGTGTGAAGATGCTCTGAAACAGATGGAAGAAAGCAGCTTTAGAATTTAGATAAAATCTTTTTGGTTCCCGATCCTTCACCACCACAAGAACAGAATCTCAGACAAAGGATGATGAGCTTTTGACTATTTTTTTTATATTTTCTTATATCCTATGACTGGTATTGGCCGGGAAATAAAAGTATTCTATATCAGCTCGAAAGAAAGCACTACAGTCATCAGAGGCAGATATGTGTAAATAGTGACCCCCAACAACATGACAAGGGCCCAAAGGTCCTCTTTTGGGATTGAACTGAACTTCTCCATGCTTATCCCTTACTTACTACTAAGGTTCTTTCTCTTTTACTTTACAATTTCCCTCCCTACTTTTTATTGTCTTTTTGCAATACATGTCCTATATGACAACCTTCTAGTTGATAATTCCCTGTGTTGTATTTCTCTCTCTCTCTCTCTGATTGCGCAGATGTCTTTGTTGGTGGACCCAATTTATGGCAGCCTAATTTCCTGATCTTAGAAGAGAGGCCCACATGAGTGATTGCTGACGATGGCCTGTTTCTGGTTTAGATTTTGCACATTGAAGCAGTGGATCTTTCCCTCCTGGGTAGATTGCTTCCTTTGTCAATCCTCTCCGTTCATAATTAACTCACTCAGATCTAGATAAAATTGTAAGATCATCATTTTTTATTTTTATTTCTTTGTGATAATTGTTTGACCATTGTTTGTCCATGACCTCAACTTTTTTGGACTGCCACTTATAAATTTTATATTTTATATTTTATATTTACATAACATGAATATATCAGATAATGAAATACAATTACTTCGTATACAAGATGCTGTAGCTACTCTCAAGCGAGTGCAAAATAGGATGTGACTTTCCAAGCTTATTTGTTCTATAGAAACAAAAGTCTTTGTCGAAAATGTGACTGCAAGAGTAACTTTCTTACAAACGTTCATGAAAGATTTGGAATTCTTATCTCACACTATGAATTCATGGACTAACGGCTTTTTACATTATAATTAACTTGTGTACAAAAGATGAGACGCTAATATCAACAATAGAAATGACTCATTTCATGACCAAATGGGGGAGACGACTAAATGATAATAATTTACCGGGTGATTCAAAGTTGTTAAGCTTTATCAGCGGCTAATAATTGGATAACACGCTATATTAACCCAAATCTAATCCAGAAAAAGAAAAGATCCCTAGTACTCGTAGGAAGCATTGTCAAATACTTACGCATGTTATGTTTGAGGAAATAATCAAGGGCTAGAATATAACATAAAAAATGGATTTGGTCTCTATCCAAGCCAAGACAAATTAGACATTGTGTAGTACATAACATGTGGGGTGGGAATCTACTTTTGCTTTTCTCTCCCTTTGTTCCTTGCACTTCCAGCAAATAGGTTGGAAAGGAGTTCAACTCTAGTTTGCCCAATGAAAGCTATTTTTAATAATAATGGAACTTGTAGATATCTACATCATTGGTTGGACCCAATTACAGTAATCCAACTATAATAATCCACGCCCCATGCCGGAAATGTTTGATTATGGCCAAATGACTCTTTATAATAATTTGACGATAATTTTTAATATGTGATCATCCTTTCCTTTTCCTCTCTCTCATTCTTTTATAAAATTAAACTCCATTGAGTTGAGGCTTCAGAAAGACACTCATTCAGAGTTTTAAAAGTTGCACACTTTAACAATATCTATCAACTTTACAACGTTGACCTCATTTCTGTTAGGTGACCCGTAAACGTTACAACGTTGCGTTTCAGTTATTCTATATCGGATGGTTTGGTACAAAGATCATATCTCATTGAAGTTTCACCTGCCAATCGGTAACGAAACTCGTCTTTTGTTTTATTTTCCCTTCAAAAAAGTACATCATCACTATCCCCCTCTGTGCCTAATTGCATGTGAATGCGCTAATTTAAATCTTCACAACCTAAACCACTAAGTTAATTTGCTATTAGTTTTTGTAATTCGGAATGACTAATAAGTTAATTGTTCTTTGGGTTCCCGATGCCTTTAATAACGAGAAATAACAGTCCACTAATCAAGCAGGTGGTAGTTACTTGCAAAAATACTCTAGGTTCAATTTTATTCTAGCACATGAAAAAGAAATATAAATGCGGACAGAGAAAAAGTATACACATGAAATAAAAATCACTACGGTGCTTAAGTGCTTAATCTGGGAATAAAATCCCCTAGGACAAACTAGTTGGTCCGGTTGAAACATACGTTTTATTGAAACATACCGTCAACATTTGAATACTGTTCTTCGTTCAATCGAAGCATTGTATCAATGAAATGGATCGTGGGATCATAATTTTGAGTAAACTATTTCTTTCCTTTTCCCCCCCGAAAACTATCATTTTCTATCGATTTTGATTTCCAATTTCATATGTGTTTTCTCTCTTCACCGATTATATTATGTCTTTCTGTATTTCATTTTCTCTTTCTTGCATTCAAATGGAAACAGGACCATTTTTGGTTGCAGATCCAACACCGATTATGGTTTCGTTCAACGGTGATTATATTAAGAAAGGGAAAAATTTGTGATTTTAAATGATATAAATTTATATCATTTTAAGAGAGATAGACATATAATAATTTTTTATTTAAAATTTAAATTAAAAAAAAAAATCAACCACTTTCTCTCTAATGATTTTCATTCTTTGTGTCTATCTCTCTCCTGACACAATTTATGTCATTTAAAATGACCAACATCAAACCAGAAAATGTTTATTAATTGTAAAACTCAAAAATGCATATTTATGATTTTAGTATCTTTTGATTCAAATTTAATTAAAAGATGTATTTTTATTAATTCATCGAGTCAACAATAAAATATATTTTGCACACAAAAAAGACAACTTTTTTTTTTATGAATATAATTGTCTTTATATAAAGACAACTTTATATACAAATACCATATGCTTTTGATAAATGTAAACTAATTTATCTTTATACAACAAAATAGAGCGGTCCGGCCCGGCCCAAAAGGTTGGCCGGCCCTATAAGAGCCGGCTCGGCTCGTCAAGTCATTGCTTTTCATTTCGAATGCCCTGGCGGTTCCTGAATTGATCTCATTCCTAGACTCCCTCCAAAATCTCTCTCTCTCTCTCTCTCTCTCTCTCTCTCTCTCTCTCTCTCTCTCTCTCTCTCTCTCTCTCTCTTGTTTCAGAATCGGAGTATGTCGGTGAATCTGACACCGAACGCGATCCCGGCGATAGTGGCCGGCGACATGAACTCGAAGCCGTTGGTGCAGGTTCTGGATATCAAGTTGATTTCGAATAGTAAGCAGCAGGAGAGGTACCGAATTTTGCTTTCCGATGCCGTTTACTCTCAGCAAGCCATGCTCGCGACTCAGCTCAACGGCCGAGTCAAAACCGAACGAGTTAAGAAAGGTTCCATTGTTCAGCTGATCGAGTATATTTGCAGTCCTATTCAGAACCGCAAGTCAGTTTCTCGTTCCTACACCTAGTTTCATGTTTGATTGCTGCAATCATGATTCAATATATCACGCGTTTAAGGAGAAATCTCCATGTGGAAAATAATCAAATTAATACGGTTGTGATTATGAATTTCAATGGAAAATCTAATTTCTCCGGGATTGGAATATTAATCTGGTTTAAATTCAGATACTAATTACATTTACATCGGTATGGTTTCAATAATAATGTGCTCTTCGGTTCGAAGAGGTTGGTATTATTTTAAATAATTCCGTTAGATTTGTCGAATGATTGATCTTACTTCTCGAAGCAAAACTTGGCTTCATTTTGGATAAGTAGAAGGACATTTAGATTTTGGCGAGAGTCAAATCTTGTTGGGGAAGATATTCCCAGTGAAGATGCATTCGTCATCGAAGGCATCTTATGCATTTCTAATCCCTGATAACTCTAAAATATACTTGAATTTTAGGTATCTTCGCCAAAAAGAAACAATAATTTCAAAAGCAATGTGACAAAACATTTGCAGTTTTTCACATAATTTCTCAGCATTCCTTTAGCTTCTTTTCTGATTTGTTTCATAATTGGGGAGAACCACCTCAGAAACAGGTCAGTTCATATTTGGGAGATAGAAAAAAATTCAATCTCATTATATATTGGCAAAACCTTAACATTGGTTGTTGAAGTGCTTCTTCGGATGCTAAAGAGTCAAAAACTTGTTACAGAAGGAACCTAGCCTCTTCAACAATAGGTTTTTCCTATAAAATTAATTCATATACTTAAACTGCCTCTCATGGTGACGGTGGCCTTCCTTGTACAGGATTGTTGTGGTGCTCAGCATGGAAACTATAATACTAGAGTGCAATATCATTGGAAATCCAAAGTCATTTGTGGAATCTGATTTACCAACTCAGGAAGCATTACCTAATAACAATACGCAGAACTCATCCAGGAGTAATAATTATCACCTTACAGCTCGAAATACAAGTTGTAATGTGCAGAATTTCCGGCCAACTGTTCAACCACCATACCAACCGCCTCCAGTTTACAAAAGCCATGGTGCAATTGTGAAAAATGAGGCCCCAACACGTATTATTCCAATAGCTGCTTTAAATCCTTATCAAGGTCGGTGGGCCATCAAGGCAAGGGTAACTGCAAAGGGGGATCTACGCCGCTATAATAATGGTCGGGGAGATGGGAAGGTCCTCTCATTTGATCTCCTTGATTCTGATGGAGGTGAAATACGAGTAACCTGCTTTAATGCAGTTGTTGATCACTTCTATGATGCAATCGAGGTTGGTAGAGTTTACTTGATATCCAAAGGTAGCTTGAAACCTGCACAGAAGAACTTCAACCATTTGAAGAATGAATGGGAAATCTTTTTGGAATTGACATCAACTGTTGAACTTTGCCCGGACGAAGATGGTTCTATACCTAGACAGCAATTCTCCTTTAGGCCTATCAGTGATATTGAGAATGTTGACAGCAACTCCATTCTAGATGTTATTGGGGTTGTGACATCTGTGAATCCATCAGTTCCCATCTTGAGGAAGAATGGAATGGAAACTCAGAGAAGAGTTTTGAATCTAAAGGACTGTTCTGGCAAGAGTGTTGAGCTAACCCTTTGGGGTGAATTTTGCAACAGGGAAGGGCAAAAGTTGCAAGAGAGGGTGGATGCTGGCTTTTTCCCTATTCTGGCAGTCAAAGCTGGGAAGGTCAATGACTTTAGTGGGAAATCTATAGGGACTATTTCTGCTACACAGCTTTTCGTAAATCCAGATTTTCCTGAGGCATGTAGCTTAAGGGGCTGGTTTGATCGAGTGGGAAAAGATTCTGCTTCTCTGTCCATTTCTAAGGACATTGTACCTGGAGGACCTATGAATGATGTACGTAAAACTGTGTCTCAGATCAAGGATGAAGGTCTGGGGCGGTCAGATAAGCCAGATTGGATAACAGTGAGAGCAACCATATCTTTCATCAAGACAGATACGTTTTGTTACACCGCTTGCCCTATGATGATTGGAGATCGACAGTGCAATAAGAAAGTGACTAGGTCAGGAAATACAAGATGGCAATGTGATAGATGCAACCAAGAGTTTGAGGAGTGTGATTACCGATATCTTCTTCAAGCTCAAATTCTGGATCATACTGGAGTAACTTGGGTTACTGCTTTCCAGGAATCAGGGGAAGAGATTTTGGGTTACTCCGCAAAGGAGATATACTTGTTGAAGTATGAACAGCAGGATGATGAGAAGTTTGGAGGAATAATCAAGAGTAGGCTCTTCAACCAATTTGTCTTCAGGCTGAAAATCAAAGAGGAATTGTATGGTGATGAACAGAGGGTGAAGATTACAGTAGTTAAGGCTGATAAAGTGAATTATTCTTCGGAGAGTGGATACATGCTTGATTCAGTTTCAATGTTTAGTAGGCAGTAACTGTAATTTGGTTTCCGCATCTTTCTTCATTCGTTGAACCACGTCTATAACTATTAGTGTAAATTTTAATACAGAATCGGTCATTAGTGGTTGTGAGTTAACGTGTCATCTTGTATGCCCATTACAAAATCTAGATTTAGATATTAATTCAAGTTTTAAGTTTTACTCTGTTTCATATATTGGTGGATATGCCTTAATATCTCACAGTTCTATAATATCTTAAAAGTGATCGTTTTGCAGTGTAAGCTCATACATCAATGGCATCTATGTGGTTCATATTTAAGTACAATTCTTCCTTCTCTCCGATCTGTTCTAATTTTTTGTCCGCTACGTTCTTACTTTACATGTCAGAACGTCCTTTTAGTTGATTGTTTCAAAAAGTTACCTATCTTGCAGTAAAAACATGTAAGCAATTTGTTTATATGATGCGCCAAAATGAAAATTGTAAGAATTGGAAAGCTTCTCCTCAAGTGGAGCTGAAGAGTCATATATTACACATAACAGAGAGTTCATTACCGAAGAACAATACAGATACATTGCATATCAATGATGAGAGGAAGTCTAAAAATCCCCGCAGGGCCTCGGAATTTCCTCAGCTTCGCTTGACAGGATCGAAATTGGCGACGCCGATGACGGCACCAACAATGGCTGCAGCGACAACCCCACCAGCCACGATGCTGAGCAAGAAGTTCTTGAGAGAAGGCGAAACAGCAGCTTCAGCTGCATCCGGAACCATCATTGAAGCTGTCAATGCAGCTGCCGTCAGCCCCGTCACAACTTTCTCTTTCATGGAGGCCCTCACTTGAAACCTTCCATTGGATTTTGATGCTGAAACAGCCTTTGAAGACCGTAGAGGCAATGGTGCCTTGAAGAATGCCTCAGAACTGGGCACCGCCCTCTTCTGGCTGGTGGTATAAGTTAGTGGCACAGCCATAGAAACTGCCGAAGTTGAAGCCATTCCTTTTCCCCCTGGTTCTGCTTCTCCTGCTAATTGCTTAGTTGGGTGAAACTTCTTTGAAGAGTGAGGAAAAATGGATATGGTGCGTATATGTTTTTGAGATAAAAGGTTGTGGCGACGGGGAGAATGAGAGGTGGAAATGTTTGGCATATTTGCCTATGTCTGACGTGGCAGCTTCTCCATAGGGAATCGATGGATAAGGTTATCTTATTTGTCCAATCACCACCTATTGCGTACAAAATATAATATGAGGTACTCGATTCGAATAAATCTTTGGTGCTACCGTGGCATCAAAGATTCAGTATATCTCACAAATGAGAGCATTACATGTCAGTCAAAATTCTCTTTCCTTTGTTAAATTTTCTCTCTCTCCTCTGATGTGTAATACTCTTATTTGTGGGATGCACTGAATTTAAATGCAACAGTAACACCGAAGATTTATTCCCTCGATTGGGTTTCCACCGCAAGTTTCACTTTTTTTTGGGCTGAAATTTAGTTGTCTAATGTCTGCAAGTATTTGGGTTAATGTTATTAAACTTATTGATGTGGTCGAGGTCAATTGCATCGTATGACCCGATAAATTTATAATTTATATTAAAAAATTTATAAATATACTTACATATTTGAAAAAATATATATTAATTTCATATATTTTAATATAAAAAATAATAAATCACATATTATTATCCAACAAAAGATCAGTCAAACATGTAATACTTATGATACTGGTATTTCAAGTTCAGTAAACGATATCTCAAAATAATATTAGTGTTGTAACTTCTAAGTACATAATTTATATAAGTCAAATAAGTAACAGATTATTCAATTGATAAGAACAAATTAGTGAGAACAAATTAGGTTTTTTTTATGAATCGGGTCGGATCAGCGGTTGAACAGATCAGGTCATTGGTTTTTACAAAAATCAATTGGATTGCACCAGGTCGCACTGGGTCTATTACATAATCGGTCCAATATAAAAATTGGACCAATTATATTACAGATTCATCGATTTTCGAGTCAATCTGGCTAAATCGATCCAATTTTTATAACAGTGTGCTTAGTAGAAGACTGTTTCATTATAGCCAAAATTTAGTTGAACTTGTACTCTGTCTACGAGCTCGATTTGGCTGTGCCGATGGCTCGACCCCTCCGGAATCTGTCGTAGCCATAAAATTTCATTTCACTATTCATTTTCCCTCCTTACAAAGTTGAGAGGATGAGCAAAATAGTCAGCATGTTGAAAATTTAATGATAAGATAAATTAATTTAACTAATAATTTTCTTACAGTCCTTGTTATTTATTCATCCACATTTAACGTTGAAAGAAAAATGTTAGCTAACAGGAAGTAAATTATTGCTTAAATTAATTTATCATTTTCTAGTGCGACCTGAATTGTAAAACATTTTCAATGAAATAGCCAAATCCGTCATTCTTCATACAATTCTCCCCGAAAGGAATGTCATGCCACGCCGGGCCTTGACAGTTGACAGAGGGATTAACATTGATGAGCAAAATTTCTAATTAAAACTTGTACAACATCTGTTTGGTGTTTGGACTTTGGGGTTAAATCTTTTATATATATATATATATTGGATCCAAATTTTTGGGAAAAGAAAATTCTCAAACTTGTTTCTAATGAATGAAAGTTTATGAAGATAGGAGGTTGTTAGTTATAATGTTAGGGCAATGCATAAATTCTCTATCATTTGATATGTAGAAAATAGAGGCATTGCTCACCAAAAAAAAGAAAAAGAAAAATAGATACATGGGCCTGTTTGATTGTGTTTCGATTTTTTTGTTCTTAAAATTGTTTTGTAGATTAATTATGGAAACAATTATTTTCTGTGTTTTTTTTGTTTTGAAAGTTAAAAACTAAAATATGTTCTCCAAATTTGATTCTAAAAAAAAAAAAAATTACAGTTTTTAATTTTTTTTTAACAAAATAGACCTTATCAAACAAATTTTTTTGTTTTTTATTCTGAAAAATTAAAAAACTGTTTTTAAAAACAGGAATAAAAAGAGCCATTGTTTGCTGTTTTTGCAATTATGTTTTGTGTGGAAAATAAAACACATGCCCGCTTTTGTTGTCTTTAGTAATTTCATATCTTGAATGCCCGTTAAAATTTTTATCGGAAGAGACATTTTCTGCAACTCAAATGCACTGCCTTCTAACTCTTCATTGAAAACAAAAAAGAAGTAAAAGAAGAAAAAAGAAAAAAGAGAAATTCTCTTCCATATATTTATCAACACTTCCCAGTTGTTAATAGACATTATAAAAAGGAATGTAGAACCATAGCTCAATTCACTGATGAATAAAAACATTTCTGCTCTCTCAATGGATACAAAAACTGGTTTTATTTATTGATTAGAGAGTATTACATAACCCGCAGGTAATGAGAAAGAATGTGCAAGAGTGACAGCAGCCTTATCTAGAATTATAGTCGTTCTCATCAATCTTTGTTTACTATCTCTCTATAGTCATAATATTTTTATACATTCCTTTGTCTTCTCATATCCCAAAACAATAGAATAAACATCACATGACATATTTTATGATGACTTGAAAAATGTTATATTCTCTTCAATGACAACTTGACCACCACGGCATTTAGATTAACTACTATACATTAATTTAATGTAATAATAAAAAAAACTGTCTATAATTGTATCATCTAGGCTATAGCTAATAGATGGGATTTGCTTTGATGTCTAGTGTTCTACAATATATTATCCATCTTGTTCTTCTCTTAATTTTCTCTGCCTATTTCGCACCAAAAATCCGAAATGGGTGATTTTGAAAGCCCCTTCAGAGTGTCACCCCCTCCTTCTTCTCCATCTTCCTCAGATAAGTCCAGCATGCCCATGTTATACTATGGCCTAGTAGTGGTGGGAGGTGCAGCCATAGCATTAGGCCTATACAACTACTTCATCGTGAAACGGTGCAGTTCGGGCCATAGTACGCAATCACAGGCTGAAGGGCCAAATGGGATTGTTGAGGTGGTCATTGAGAACTCACAAAGAGACTTTCTGTCAAGTTTCAAGTATAAGAAAGAAGCAGGAAAAGAAGGTGGTGGGGATGATTATGAATGCCCAGTTTGCTTATCTATTTTTGAAGAAGGGGAAGAAGTGAGGAAGCTACCACAGTGCAAGCACTCATTCCACGCTCCTTGTATAGACATGTGGCTTTGCTCTCACTTCGATTGCCCAATTTGTCGAACACCTGTTGGGCCATTCTGTCACCATTTCCCACCGGAGAATTCTCGTCGCCGTGGTGTCTCAGTTTGATACTTGGGAGTGGTGTGGGTACTAGTCCTTAACAACGTTCTCAATAAGGAACAGAAACAGAAAACACCCAGCTTTGGATACCTTGTTTGTGATGATGAGGTTACGTGACAAAAGAGGTTGAGTACTGCTAATTACTTTAACTTTTCGTTATAAATTAAGTTATATGCTAAATTGATTTATTTATACGTTAATATGGATTTCAAATTATTTTTAGTAATAAAAAATAATCTAATTTTGATTCATTATTATTGTAAAATTATATTACTATGTAATGAAAAGTATTCTTTTAAAGTGAAGGATAAACTCCCGTTATAGAAGTTTTATCCTCATCTAATTATACGTTGTCACATCTTTAAATAATTTTTCAATTAATTCTTAATTTAGTTTCAGTATTCCTAATTTCATTGGTTGAGTATAGGCCACTCATTTGGTTTAACACGTGTCCATATGTTTTTGTAATTTTTTTTTTTTTCAGGTTTTGATTTTATTTGTTATAGGTTTACTGCATTTGCCTACTGATTCTGATTGGTATGGAGGTGGCACCATTCCAGTGTGTAGCTTTTGAGGCGCATTTAAATCTTAAACCGTCGTGTTTTTTCCTTTGAGAAAACATAAGAAGATCCAAATTCGAAACAATTTGAGATGTAGTAAAATCCGGTGGCAAATTTTCCAAACTAAGCAGAAATTTTAAACTTCAATCATGATCTAGTCAGAAGAGATTTTTTTGCAAGCCAAATTATGTAAAGTTGTAAACGGACACGGGAGATTATTGTCAGTAACATTATTATTATGTGTAATTTGCAAAGAAAATTTGGGTATTCTTTTCGAATGCATTGTAAGGTTTATACATTTATTTATTTTCTGAAGACCACATCGTAGGGATAAATTGAATATAAAAGGAAAAGAAACTAAGGATTTATTCTTGTATGAGAGAATATGCCAGGCGTCAATTTATTCTTGTATCCTAAAAATTTTGCTTGGCATACTGAATCCAGATAATTAAATCTCGAGGACAGGACAACAATAATTAAAATATAATAAAACAGAACAAGTCATACTCAGCTAAAACATCAAGGCTCCAATTTTATTTTTTATGATAACAACTTATGTTGTTAAAATTAGAGGTAATAAACGAGTGAGGGGCCTTTGACTCGGTTCGTGAAGGCCTAAGCTTACATGCTTAATATTGGTTGTTGGAACCAGACTTAGACTTGTACAAAAGCTTGTTTAGTAAAAAGACCTCAAGCTCCAATTCAAAACTCGGTCTTGGAGTCTCTCAAACTAACCTAGTATATTAATTTTTATTTTTATCTTTATTATTTATACTATTTGTAATAGCCCTCTCTCAATCCATTGCACTCCTATTTTATTAGTTAAATAGATTTTTTGAATGATTTTTTTCTATATTATGCTTTTTTGATATACATTGAATTTATGAATATTTATGGAATTACTAGTGATGTTGATTGTATATTTTGTTTGGATAAATTTTTGTTGTCTTATTTTTTTTAATAGGCTAAATCAGGTTTTTATTTTTTGTAAATAATACAGGCCACATGCCGATAATTATATTCATAACAGGTAACTGGCTTGGTAAGATTGACCCATTTAAACACAGGCTTAGTCTTTTAAGACCAAAGCTCGACTCGGTTCGGCCCGTTAACACCCCTAGTTAAAATGTTATTTGGTACAACTTTTTTTCACTTGTAAATTTAGATTGTACATGACAATATTTAAAAAAAAAATACTTTTTGTCTGGATTAACAAAAATGGTTAGAAATAATATTTGATAAAGCTATTTTTGTTATTTTTGTTCCAGAATGAATTAATAAACCAAAAACACAAATAGATAAAAAATAAGAATTAATTTATTTTTTCTTTTACATAATATTTATTAAATGCATACATCGTAAAATATGTAATCATGATTAAATATACACTATTTATTAAATACATATTCTCTCTAAATAAATTGGGTTATTCCTACAAACTCTTCCTAAACACATAAGTAAAAAAATAAATTATTTTATTTACCAAAAAAAAAAATTGAATTATTTCTCTTTAGTCACATGACTAGAGAACATAATAATTGCCGTACACACCCTTAATTAATAATAACTCAGTTATTGCGTAACAATTTATTAAAATTAATTTATCTACTAATAACATATTTTGAACATTGATTAATTAGAAAATGTGAGAATAGTGTAAAGTGATCAATTGTTCCCCCCATATTTAAATATTAGTTAATTAAGATGTGAAAAAATTATGATTAGGTGCAGTGCATATGACCGAGATCATTAATACTTTTAAAAAAAATATACATACCTCAACAGTTAAAATTATTTTTTATTTTATAAGTAAAAAAATTTAAAACTTAAGTTTGAGCCATCAAAATACAAAGTTGGCATGCTGTTTGTGGATCGAATTCTGGCATGCAAGTATCATTCCGTGCTGAACTTGATGCATAAAGAAAATCAATGCACATTACTTCATAATCTACATGGATATAATAGTTAGGTAAAATCATTTCTGCAGCTGCTTTACATATAGCAACGACAGGTGTATGGTTATGATTCCTCACATTTAATGCTTTCATCCTTTGTATGGTTATGGTTCGTCGCATTTAATGCTTTCAAATATATATATATGGTAAATATTTAATTGCTGCAAGTAAAGCAGCTGCAAAAATATAATCTCCTAATAGTTTACTACATGTAAAATGTTCCAAATAAGCACCATTCAGGCACTGAGTTAGACTACTGCTGAGGAGTTTGAATAGTTTGGAAAAGGACGTAAGATCAAATTTCGGTCCCATAAATGTAAGCAAAAAGGACGCACACAGATCAACACTGACAGAACAATGAGAATTTTTTCTCTTTCTTTAAATCCATTTTATTCATAATGATGAGTTCGAACAACTTCTTAATTATACTACATGGTAAAAATGAGCTCCAGTTTTTCCAATAAAACTGGAGTCCCTATATCAGAATGAAGATTACATTTTTCTTAAATTGTCTAACCTTGCCTGTAAATCACTATCTATTCCAGCGTCATCATTCCCAGTAGTTTCAACTTGAGGCACCTTAGTCTTTGCAGCTGGGGCAGCAACAGCCGTTGATGGTGCATTCAAAAGCTGTGGCATCAAATCAGAACTCGTTAGAAATTATTATAGTGATTAGGTCATTTAATGTCAGCTGAAAAAAGAAGTGGAATGGGTATCAAGGGATTAATATACCTCTTGGTTTATGTCAATTCCAATCTCATCAAGAACCTGGTTTACTAGTTCTTCTGTTTCTTCTTCTTCCTCATCCCCTTCCATAGCATCATCTATTGCATCTCCCATTACCTCAGTAACCAATTCCATCTTCTCATTCTGTCTCTCAAACTCTTGCATGATTTTCTGCAAAGATGGCAAGTTCATCTGCCTATTCATCTGTCCCATTGCCTTAGTCACACCTTTCATTGCCTCGCCCATTGCTTGTGTTGATTTCAAAGTCTGAACAATTGTAATACAAAAGAAACCAGGTTTTAGCACTCATATAAGGTAAACGCATGAGTCATGATCAAATTTTTGCAGGTATTTAATAAAAGCCGGTCAATCATTTTCCAAGGACAACGAAATACAATGAGCTTTAGAACAGAATTACAATCTTATGATGATCATATGCTTCTAAAACCAACTGATACAATTATACCACCATTAACATACTTGAATTCTGAGTGAAACACCCTGGAGCTGTGATTTCAGCTTATAAAACTTTTCAATCTGATGCCTTGTTCTAATTAGATCTTTTGCCATCACTCTAACAGCTCCCTGAAAAATATTTCATGAAATAAAACACAGTATCAGTAAAACATATCACCCACCTTAACAGCTAAATCAAGAGTTAAACATATACCATTGATGAGCATAAATACGGAATTACTGGCAAATCAGGTATGTCATAGAAATACAACAGCTTGCTTATATCCAACAAAAAAAGAGTTCCTCATGTACAAGCTAGTTTCAAACAGCTCACATGAACATGTAGTTAAAATTACACATTTTAAAATGATAGTACTTTCCAATACTTGCCAGAGAAAGACAAATTCAGTGCCTCTGCAATAAAATGTCAGTTTTATTTGCTTACAAGTTGTTTAAATAAGTGAAAATTGAACAGCACAATTTTGTAAAGATAAGAATGGAGTGTTCAACACATTAAAGAAACCCTAAATTTGATGAAAAAGGATATCATATTCCACAGCAATGTAAACTTGAACACTTCTGTTCTATTGCTTTCTTTCTTGGGGAGTCGGATGCTATGACTATGAAAGTCACTAGTTCAACAATTGTAATTCACAGATGCCATTTTGGAAAATAAGTGGATAGTTTTGAGCCTGCAATAGCACTAGAAAAGCAGTTATTTGAGGAGAGAGCAACAATCACAAAAGTTTAATCCCTAGCATTAATGTGGATATATATATCTTGGTTATTATAACATGATACGGCCAAGCATATAAAAGTCTATAAAAATAGGAGGGTTTGGTCCATTGCCGAGTCAGCAAATATTTCCCAAAATGACCCCTAACAGAATTAGGTGCTGGTAGGAGTTAGTTAAGAGGGAGGATGAGTGCTGAAGGAAGGTATCGCGAAGCATTGTTTGGATTTTGGAATTGGGATTTGGGAGAGTATGGAGCCTCTCAAATTGCCACTCATCATCATTTCCATTTCATTTCTGTTCTGTCAATTTCCTGTTTCTGTTTCTCTGTTCCTTTCGGTTATTGTGTTGCTTGGATAGCACGAGACTATTACTCTGTAATTTATTCCATATCAATTATACAAGCTTCCATTTTACATCCCTCAATCGTGTGTTCTGTAAGATTTTCTTTGTCTGGAGTTAGAAGACCCTATCATAACACAAACACAAGGAGAACAATTTCTCCAACCACAAATATTGATGGCGACAAAAACACAGCAGAGTACATAAAAATGGTAAGAATATGCACAACAGTATTGGCTGAGCAGCCAACATCAGCATACCGTCGGCGACTAATAAAAAGGAGATGAGCAGCAAATGCCAACTCCACTCCTCCACCTTAGAGAGCAGAGGAGGGTGTTATAGATCTGCAATAAAGAACAGCTAAGCTAGTACAGGCAATGCTACAACCAAAAACTAAAGTAAAAGAGGCAACTAATACTATGAAAACACAGTCACCAATACCATACCATCTGGCCTTGTTTGGCACTTTTCTTTATCTCCAAAATCAGTTTCTTCTCTTGTGACTGTAAACCCTGTCTCTCTCGTTCTATTTCTCTAATTGATTTGTCCAACATTCTCTTGTTTTCCCGCAGAAGTTCTGAAAGTCACAACTTTACAATCACTTACAAGGAAATCAATAAAGAGTGCATCAACTTGTAAATATCAAAGTGAGTACCACCATATCAACCTAAAATTGTGCAATATAATTTTTTTTGTCTATCTTTCTCTATAGCTATTAAATAGATGGACCCTATCAAAATTTGTGAATGTATATATGAAGAGAGAGAGACACAAAGATTTAGACATTTTTATTTTTCCTGAAATCAATGTTCTGAGATAGTTGAGTAAGAGGAAATTAAGAAACCTGCGGGTGTTTTTCTCTTTCCAAAGATGAAGCTCATGGTGCCCGAAACAACAGAAATCGAATCAAAAGTGAACGTTAATTTCGTAGGTTCGAATCAAACGAGATTGAGAAGCTTGTGGGTTTAGGAATTGATGACAATGCTTTTCATCGACTCGTCCAGCTTTGTTACGCTGTAAGCGTTAAACCAACGAATCAACAAAGCAATCTTCTTTCCACGGGCCTGGGCCTGGTGCTGGGCTTCTTTCTCACCCATCAACAATTTTGGGCTATGGAAATCCATAAGATCTCTGGCCTTTCATGATAACGGACTAACCTTTAGTGCCCAATTGTACTTTGTGCCCCTTTTTTTATTAACTAACTTTGTATTAAAAATGTTATCAAAAAAAAAAACTTTGTATTAAAAAAGCATATAACCAAATTCTATTTTAAGGAATTTTTGAAGAAAAATAAATAGATTTAATTTAAAAAAAATGCTCTTATAAAAGGAGCTGCTGATGAATGCTAAGATTTTATACATTGTTAATTTATATTACTGCAAAATAAGATATAAAACACAGCACTGAGAATCACACGTGCGCACGTGTTTCAATAAAACTTTATAGGTGTAGATAAATTTGATTATTTATTATATTTTTCTACTTTTTAAAATATTATATATCTCCATTCTAACAAGCTATTATTTGGCTTAAGGAACTAGGCAGCCTAAGGACACCGTCCACAGTGACCATTTTGTCACGTTGTTGGAAAAAAAAATTACGAGTCTGTCACGTCAACGGCAAATTTTGTCAAAATATCACGTGGCATATTTTGTTACACTGTGTAGTGAAATATGTCACGTGACATTTTGACAAAATTTACTATTAGCGTGGCAGTCTGATAATTTTTTTTTGCCAACAGTGACACTTTAGTCACTGTTCCAAATAACTGTTGTACCAACTGATTATTATTTTGTTTTTTATCATTAAATTTCTTTCACTTGGAATGTTCTTGCGTACTTGTTCCAAACTCTTCCAATAATTTCCAGTCGCCAAATCATATGAAATGCCAATCTTAATAATTCTATACCAAATAAAAATGAAAAAAAAAATATCAATTAGAATCTGATGAGTATTTCTTACAAAATAAATTTTTAAAATAACCAAACAATTATGTAATACCTTATCTTAAAAAAAACTCAAGTTCAAAATCGGATTAGTCAGACCAGTTAGATTTATAATATCGATTGTTATCTACCCAAAAGAATTATTTTTTTACAAAAGATAAGGTCAATTTGTAGAAGCCAAACAATGGTAAATAATACAGTGCATTTTCAGGAATCAATATATAATTTTTTTAAGGATTTTTTTATTTTTTTTAAAAGTTTTGGTTTTATATTAATAATTATTTCCTTAAAAATAGTTTTGAATATTTGATATTGAGGTACCCAAATTACTATTAGCTAAATGAAGCTAAACATTACTTATGATATAATTACTTTTCAGGTAAGTCGGTATTAAGAAATTTTAATGAAGTTTTATATTTTTGAATAAATTCCATAATTTAACCAAGTTTTCAATTAAATTCCTACTTATTATAAACTTTTGTAATTAAGTATTTGAAACCAGTAACAACAGTACAGGAACCTTTAAATATAAAGAATATTAAAAAAATATAAATTATAAGAATCGTTTTAAAATTTTTATTAAAAATATAGAACCTATATTGGTATTTTTTTTTTAAAAAACATACCGATATAGGTATTAAAAGTAACAGAATTACTTTTATAATACAAAAATAACTTTCAACGTAAGAAAATATCGAAACCAGCAATTAAATTATATCCCTCTTCGGGTGCTAATTGATACATTGAACTAGAAGCAAAATCAAATATTCATTGTATATCGAATTGTTGTGATTATTACAACCTTCAAATTAAGCCATAAACAGAATAATAATAATATATAATTAAAAAAAAAACCTAAACATATCTGATTTTGCAGACCATGGGTAGGCCAAGTTGCTAAAGTATGCTGTATGCACCCCTTCATTTGCAACAAAATGCCAAAGGAATCATATATGTGTATGCAGGCACATAGCTGGTATGTGGTCCTTGGCTTCAGCGATAATGTGATGCTGCTTCCACATTATTTTGCAAAGCATTTATGATCCTTGGATAGCACTTGGCAAGGTTGTGCTTGGTTGGTGAGAAACATCTCAATTCTGCTCACTGGCAATATATATGTGTTGTGTAATTGGTTGGTTGGAGTGTTTTTACTTTATTATTAAACTCGAATAATCATGTTTTAAAAAATGATTTCTATGTAAATTCTTAATAACTTCCTTACTGAAGCTTTCATAATGCAAGATTGATAAGGAATAAGGCAATGATGGCATATAGAACGACTGAAATGACATCCAATGATCCCTTTAATATATTAGCTTCTGTCTGTTTACTGTCTTAAATTTTGGTTGTAAATAAATGAGTTTTCTTTGTTGGCTTTTCATTTATAATCCTTTACTTTAGGAGGCGTTTGGTTCAAAACTTTGGGATAGTTTCCTATGCATGCATATGATATTGGCAATTTATGACATCCATGTTTGGTACATAGTTTCAAAATATTTCCCATCCGTTGTATTTGCATAGCAATTTAGAAAAGGTCCTGGAAGGCAAGCATAATTCACTGTTGTGAAAGACAAGTTGGGCATGGTATTTTTCATTTAGCCGGCTAAATGGAAACATGGACAACCAAAAGTAGACCAAAATTATTATGAGGTTATTTTTGTGTTGCGTTGTCATATGCATGGCCACTTGTTTTAATATTAAAAAATTATTATGGAGTTACTTTTGTAATTTTATACCATTTACTCATCAATATTTTATTCTCAACTAAACATAAATTTCAAAAACTTTAATCAATTTGTCTAGTAATATTTGGCCCAAACAAACAAAAAAATTTTAACTTTTTCACCTAACTCATTTTTCCTACCGATCCCTGTTAATTACATTTTTCTTGTAAAAAAAAATCCACCTTAACTAAACACCCCCTAAAAGGATCATTGGAGGAAGGTGTTTTGGTCAACCATGGTGGCCACTGGTGTCTCATGTTATCATCTGTGGAAAATAGGTTTTATCACTGCATTTTACTTTAATATGGCGTGAAAAGTAAGTTTGGATCCAAGCTATTATTATGCCTGATCATATCATCCTACCATTGTACCTTATGTTGACTTCTCCAATTCCTAATCATTTATCTGTTACGTATGTTTGATCTGATCAATTAGCTTCAATTTTGGCTTTACAACTAAGAATATAAGTTCAAAGTCACACTGTAATTGAGAATTTAAAATTAACGGGCAAAAAGGTTGTGAGTTGTAATCATTTATTTAAATGTTCTATGACGTTAAAGTGGGGGAGATTTTTACTATGTCTCACTGAGGCCATGTGCTAAGCCAGTGGAAAAGCACAAGCTTTTTTAACTTTTCATTTTCATCGGGTAGCAAAAAAAAATTGAATCTGCTTTTCTACTTTTCATTTCTCTTTCAATTTGCTTTGACAAATTGTGTGAGTGAACGTGAGGTTCCTACTTCAGTGCTTCCAGCTATCTCTCTCTCTCTCTCCCTCTCCCTCTCTAACACACACGGGCATCCAATTAAACCCAAACTCTTTTAAGCTTTAACTCCTAGCATTCATAAAGCCTATATCAGCATCTCAACTATGAAACAAAGATGAAGATTAAGGGTCGCTTATAATAAAACTCCTTCAAAAAACGAATTACAATGAATATTTTTTAATTTGAGTTCCACAAACTATGGATATAATTACAGTTAATGTTTTTTTTTTTTTTTTTTTTTTTTTTAATTAAAGGGAACTAGACTACAAATGCAGACCCTTAGCAATGGCCTTATTTGTTTCTAAATTGGTAGTTTCATAAACTGGAAGCTCTTCTTGGTACCTTGCAGCTCCAATAAGGTGATCCAGCTCAAACAAGTCTGAACTTGAATAACTCAGAGCATCATCTTCGTCATCCTCATAAAAACCTCTAAAATCAAACTCACCCTTACCAGAATTTCGGTAACCCTTTATAAAATCACGTGCTGCTGCTTCAGCTCCATTTTCTTTTACCAAAACAGTGTTCTTCAGCTCCTTTATTGAAGAATTTCTTGTAATCTTTCGAACACTACTAGACAATGGCAACAAACTTGGTTCACTCTCATAAATATATTTGTAGCAAGATGGTTGTTCAGAATCCTCACCAAGGATTATGCTAACGGGGTAAAATCTCACAGACCTTTTGACGCCATTGGTGGACTTTTTTTTATCTGAAGAGGGTGTTTTGCTCATACAAGACCTCCTTGAAAAGGAAGAAGCCGAGGAAGAGAAACATGGGGACTTGGATTTATGCTCAAAACTAACATCTTCTACAGCCCCAACGTAACACATTTTCGCTTTCTTCACATTCTCATAGCTGAATATAGAGCTAAGGAAGCTAGCTATTCGACTCCCTGGTGAAATGGGTTGCTTCACTTTCTGATTCAATTCACCATAAATTTTCAACGCCCTCAACTTGTTCCTTGTAAAACCACCCTCCCGCTGTGGCTTCTGTTGCTCTTGCTTTTCTGAATTCCTATGATCCTTGTTCATATGCTTCTGGGGCCTCTCAATTTTGGGTCTTGATACTTGTTTCTTGAAGGTTGAGTCTGTTTCTGAAGAGGAAAACACTCCCCCGGAGCTACATTCCGAGGAGCTTGAACTTGAGTTAAAGAATTGAGAACTATTGGAGCTCTGCTTCTCCATCCAATCTTCTATCATCACGGCTCGGCGAAGATTCATCCTCTTTTTACCACCTTTTTCAGAGTAAACACCATGGTTGTGGTTCAAATAGCTGTGTTGGGACGTGTGGGTGGTTTGATTGTAGAGACCCAGTTGTTGATCCTCATCAAGATCGGTTTTTGATTCGTCGATGGAACGGTAAATGGTGTCGAGGAGAGTGGAGGAGAAAGAAGGGGTTCTTCTCCTTTGTGGGCATGAGCCTTCTCGCATCGACCTCTCCCTCCTATGCATTTTAGTGCATATAGATTTTGCTACAGGGAGAACACGAATTTATAGCGAAAGTGAAAACAAAAGGGAGGGTGTGTATTTGTCTCTGATGAAAGGAAAGAGGAAAGGACAGTGAAGTTTAGATTACGGTTGGTAAAGTAATAAAGCTGTAGTAATGTTCGCTCAGAGAATGTCAAAAGCTTCAAGGCTCGTTAGAAAAGAATGAATGCAGCTAGATCGTGTGAAAAACAGTGAAAGACGCGTGTGATTTGAGGTTAAGAGAAAGAGAGAGAGAGAAGGGAGAATTTTGGTGACAAGTGACAGTGTTCGTTGGGATTGTGTTGTACATGTATTGTACGCAAGCATGTTTAGGTGTTGGCAGTAGAAGTGCACAGCTTTCGGTGAACATTAAAAAAAAAAAAGGAAATAGGAAGCGGTGACAGAGTCGAAGAATATGTGGTCATGTTATTTTATTTGATCATAATTACTCATTTATGATGAGATAAGAAAGAGAAAAGTGTATTATTTTTAAACTAGTGATTGTGATCAAATAACGTGACTACTTTTCTACATGAGAAGATTCAATCTCAGCCTAACTTAAGAGGTCGCTTGATACAAGGTATTTAGAGATTCTTGGTAACTGAATTTTCTTAAATTTTTAATTTTTGGATATGGGTAAAGTGTGTGTCATTCTAAATGATGTTAATATCATTTTAAGAAAGAGAAAGAGATAGATAAAGAGGGGAGAGAGTTGACAAATAAAATAAAAGTGTAGATTCTGCCTCTTTATGAGAGTGAAAAGATATAAGTTACGTCGTTTAGAAGGATAAACACTTTTTCTTTGAATATTATCGTAAACCGAATATTTTCATTATATTTATGAAAATTGAGATTCTCCAATGAAAAAATCGTCCTCTACCGAATGATGTTAAAGAGATTGATTGATGTGAAGAAGGAGTAGCAGGATTATGACATGCTTGGATAATTGGATTGGACGAAGAAGTGCTACTGTTCCCAAAAAAAAAATAACTGCTACGAAAAAGGCGCACTAAAGACGTAGCAGAGTGTTACAAGTTGGAAGTGATTCCCGCGCGTGCGGGTTATCTTTTCAGAGATGATAAGATCAGTATTATAAAAATCGGCCGACCCAGACAGGCCGGGACCAACACTCCTAAGCGATCTGGTTCAGTCTTCAATCGGTATTTTGCTCTAGTACCCATTTTTAATATTTCACAACAATTGTAATTGTGTAATTTGAACTCTGCATTTAAGGGAAGGAAAATGATGCGCTAACCACTAAATTAAATTATTCCGATTGTTATATTGTTTTAATTTTAACAATTCAACCAGTACTTCATTAATTTAATATTCTGACCGAGCCAATGATTTGTTCGGATTTAATAATATTGGTTCAAATAACACTCTATCTCACTCTATGCCTTTGTTTTAAGGATTGAGATTTCAAATGATTTTAATAGATTATTTTTGGACAAAAAATTCATTGGTATTCGATTAAAATTTTAATGGATTGAAAAAATTGATTAGTATTCTAAAGGATTATTTTAGAATCCGTTCAATTCTGTTGGTATTTAATCAGGATTTTAAACAATGGAATCACAATATCGTAGTATTCAAAAATTCGACGATTTTAATGGATTTTCTATTGGTGTGGATTTCGTGAGACTTTTTAGTGAAAAATATAAATAAGATGTCTCTCTCACAATCTCACCCTAACTCCTAGGATTTCTTGAGATTCTTCTATTGCAGTGTTTTCTTCTTCCTTTGACAAGTTGACTATTCGAAATTGGGTTCTGCCAAAGGAGTTTCGTCAAAACTTAAAAAAAAACAACATATTTTTAAGTGATTTTCATCACAAAACAACGAGATTTTAATATAATATATCTCAAAAATAATATATTTTTGAGCCATTTTTTAGAAATTTTAGAAGTTTAAAAATTGATTTTTCAAGTTATGGGTCGCGATTTTTCTTGACACAAAAACGTGTGATTTTTGTATTAAAAATAACATAAAACAGTGGAAAAATAACAGGGGAACTAAAACCCTCAAATCAATTTCCGTTTTACATCAACGAAACAATATCAATTTAAAGAAAGATTGAAATTTTCATAATATGAACCCTATATTTCGTAACAATACATTCATTAACGAAATTCCTTCACTATAGAAGACGATTTCAAACAATTTTTGTGTCAATAGATAACTAAAAGCTTGTTTCTCAAAAGCCCCAAAGCAATTTAAGGTTTCAATATATCGATTGAAAAAAAGTTGAGAAATTTTCTAAACTTTCATGTAATTAAACCCAAAATCAAATACGATATAATTAATATTTAATTTGCAATGAATGATAACTGTTGATTGACGAAAATCAACGGTTAAGATATAGTTGTAAAAGATTGTAAACAAAAATAGGTTGTAAGTATAACCTTTTCCTTTTTTATTGACTCTTGTAATTTTGAATGTTTGTTAAAAATTCATAAGATTTTTTAAAATCTTATAAATTCATATTGTCCTTTCAAATCTTATCAATTCTATTAAAATCCTTTAAAATCCAATCTTATGAAATTTTGATTGTAAAAAATATATTTTAAAAGAGTCTTTAAAGTCTCTCAAATTCTAAATAGTCTTTTAAAATATATAAAAAAATTTACCTCAAATTTTTTTTAAAATCCTAATCCAATACACCCCTTCTTTTAAAAAAATCTTTAGTACACATTTACCATTTAATGTTTTTCATGTAAATAGAATATATTTTTATCTCTTATGTGTGAATGTAAGTGGATAAGGTCCTATAATATAAGAAGAGAAAGAAAAAAATAAGTACAATCCACCAACAAATATATATGTGTAGAAACTAAAATTAATTTGTATTTGAATTTTTTTTCCTGTTTTTATCACATAAATTATTTTCTAACACGTCCTCGTATAAAAGTGAATGAGTCTCATTATAAATATAAGAGAGATGAAAGATTAATGGGACCTACACACTTTTATGTAAGTGTGTTAGAGAAAAAAAATTTGCATTAAAAATAAAAACATTAAATTTTTTTATTCATAGAAAAAAATATTAAACCCCACATCCATGCAGGATTTTGCATTGTGTAACATATTTAGAACGTGAATGTGTACAAAATTCGCGATTATCCGGTGTCTAAAATTTTAAAAAAAAATTCTTTGTTATGTAAAACTTTTTAAATTTAAGAAAAAATATATAAAATAAAAAAAATTATATTACAAGACAGGAATATATAATTAATAATTAATTCAGATGAAATATTAAAAAATATTTGAAATTATAATGTATCATTTTATTTAAAATTTGAAAATTCTCTCAATAAAAAATAAAAAATAAATTTTAGAAATAAATAAAATGAGAAAATGATAGAAAAGTAAATAATTAATAACAAATATAATTATTATATTTGATGAAAATCACATTTGAAATAAAATAATTTGAAAGTATTAATTAAACATATAAGTGTCTTTTAATGATGAAATTACGTACTTGATAGAGAAAGAAATTATCTCCTATATAGCAGTAGATTAATTAGGGGGAAGTGTATAATGTTACTTTAGACAATTTTTTGTCTAATGTTCACCAAAATAACGTCATTTTAGGTTAAAAAATTAAAAAAATTTAAAATCCAAAAGACTATTCTATCCCTGAAATAAATTAAAATTACAGATACACTATAATTTTCGTTTTAAAACGACGTCGTTTCGGTGAACATTAAACAAAGTTGTTTACAGTAATTTTAGAAAAAACGAACTTATTAACTAATTACAAATAGATAATCAAAACTGTATAGTTACAAAGTTATTTGTGTAAATATGTATAATAATTTTTTTAGTTTTTATTGTTTTATATTTTTATTCACGCATTTTAATCATTTGAATGCCATTTTTTTATAAAAATTATTATTATAGTAAATAAACAGTCTATCTATTTTTTTCTTTTTGTGTATGATAAGTAAATATGTACTTTAACAATTTAGGGCTTCTTCGTGTTAATGCATGCCAGCATTGATACAGCTGAAATGTAATTAAAACAATAGTTTCTAAATTGGTCTAATTTCTCCATTTATGAAATCCGACGTGTCACAGTAAAACAGGGAAAAGTAATTAACGAAGAAGGAGAAGAGCGGGTGAGTTTCAAAATTCAAATAAAACAAAGGAGTACTTTTTTAGTGCGACCCCTAATGCAAAATGAAAAATTATATTCGGGTTAATCCAGTTTTTAAATTTGTGTCGTATTTGTATTGACAAAAATACACATACAAAATTTAAAAAAAAAAAAAAAATACACATACAAAAATTTGTATCATATCATGTGTTAATTTTTAAATACAAAATTAACCCGCATTAATATTTTCACAAGTTATTATATTAGAATAAGATCATCCTTGTATAGTTATCGTATTTCAAATTTAAATATTTAGTTTGTTGGTTGTTCCAATAGTCTAGTTTGTTATCTACTTGAACTTGTTTCCTTAGCTTGTAGTTTGTTAAGTTGTTCCGGTAAATCAATTATCTAGTTTGCTATTATCCGTGTCATTTTGTATTATAGCTCTATTTAAAGGCCATCATACCATTAATGAAATCAAGCTACTATACTCAAAACATTTCTAATATGGTATCATCAGAGCCTTTCGATTTAGGCACTTTTTTTCTGCATATCAGCAACCATGGCTGACAGCAATACCATCACCTAGCCTTTTAAAATTAGTGACCCTAGTTCTCCTTTCAATACACTTCTGGCTAAACCTGATTATTCTAGAACTCCATCGCTCTCTGATTTCATGCCTGATATGCTTCAGTGTTTATTATCTTTGGCTGAGTCCTCTAAACCTTTAGCTGACAAGTTTTTTGGTAAGGCCACTACTTCCATTTTTTGGCTTGTTGACAGCGGAGCGTCACAACACATGACAGAGGATCTTGCTTCTCTTTCTGATGTTCATGATTTAGCCCCCTGCACTGTTGGATTACCTAATGGCATTCGCACACAT